CTGCACTCTCTGCCCCGTGGGCTCAACTTTAATCTTTCACCTATGAAAGGGATAATCGCACCCACCCAATCCTGGACCAACAGTTCTGCAAATGTGGGTGGGAGTCGCGGGGAGAATCCAAAACCTGAGCGTGAGACTACTGTTCTGGAGGCTGGAGGCCTCTCCTCGGGTCATGCCCTTGAGCCCCTCAGTCTGGCAGCACCGCCAAGCCCTGATTCTGGGGCGTCCGCTGTGAAGGTGCGGGTCCCAGCCGCCCTTGCAAACTGGGGCGTCTGTGGCTCCGCGCAGGGCAGAGAAGCAAGAACCCCTGAGAGGAGAAAACGTCTAGAGGTAGGCACATTTGAAGACAACGCGAGGGCCCGCCCTGGTGGCAACGGGTTGAAGCGCAGCACGATGAAGCTCCGGGAAGCCACTGCAACACCAGTTCGATCCCCGGCCAGGGAGTGACCCACGGGAGGACCCAGACTCTGTCTCCCGCTGCTCCATTCAGCAGTGTATCTCAGACAACCCACTCGTTCTGCTCCCCGCTCAGTCTCCCCTGTTCTGTATGCATAAGTAAATACAGCTATTAAAAAATAAAGACAACCCAACGTGCCTTGTGGTCACTCATAAAAAACACAGAGAGCAAAGCTCCCCTGCAGAAGCAAAACAGACTCCCAGGGGGACCCCCAGACACAGTGCAGCTATGGGACCAGGCACCCTGGACCACCCACCGCCCCAGGGCCTGGTAATTGCTGTTACAAGTTTGCAAGATTGTAGCAAATGACAAACTAGCAAAACCGCCCCAATACTAGAAAGCTGCTAGTGTGTCGACTGCCCCAAGGCCTGGACTCCCAGGGGCTTCTCAGCCTTTGGCTCATCTGATCAGGGCAGCTGACTCGGGCAGCCCAGGTGAGAGCAGCAGGTCATCTAGCTGGCCAGAGGCCGCGAGGTCAGTCCCTGGAGCAGACCTGATGGAGGCTGGTGTAGGAGGGGCCCAGGGCAGAGCTGGGGACCACCGGGTGGCCACCTGTCCCCAGGTCCCCTTCTGCCTGTTTCCTAAGGCCCAGGTAACAAGGCACTGTGTACCGGAAGTGCAGATGCAGGGGTCACGCTTCCTGCGCAGACCCTGGCGCCTTGCTCATGGCTTCCTGCTCTGGCAGCCACAGGCGCCCTGGACTCTGGCAGCACCCTGCCAGGCCCAATCCCTCTCCGCCTCCTCACGGCCTCTCTGCACAGCCCTGCGTGTCCTGGAAGATGCATCGTTGACTTGGGGTTGCCCTCACCCAGTATGATGTCATCTCACCTTAATCATAGTCGCAGAACCCCCATTTCTGAATAAGGCCGCAGTCCGAGGCACCCGGCGCTACTCAGCAACTCTCTGTGGGAGACACAGGTCATGGATGCCAGCCAAGACCTTCTGTCTCCGGGCCCCAGTCTCCTCACCTGTCACCTGAAGGCTGTTCCTACTCTGACAGTGTTGGAGCCAATATAAATAAAGAGTTTGACCATCAAGAAAGTGGTAATATTCCTGTGACCGAAAGTAACAAGTAGCAATTGCTAACTTTCATTTCCTGAGCCCTTTTGAGGTACCAGCCTGGCAGTCAGGGCTCTGCATTCCGATCTCATAAATCCTTTTAAGTAGGGGATAGTATGACGGCCGTTTTTAAACAAGGAAAATGGGGTCCAGAGAGGCTGGGTGTTTGCCTAGTGTTGCACAGCTAGGTTGGGACTTCAACCCAAGGGGGGGCCCTTCTGTACAACCCCTGGGGGTTGAGTACTGTCAGCGAGCGCCTCTGGCTCTGGGCCCAAGTGGGTCTAGGCAGGAGCCCTGCTCCCTTGAGCCCTCGGGAACCGCAGTGTGGAGCCAGACCCTGCCGCCAGCCGCTCGTCCGGCTCCTATCTCCGTGCTCCTGAACCTCCCTCCTGTGGGCAAGAGCACCTGTCACCTCCCTGCCTCCCATTGAGGCTGTCACTCAGAGCCTCGCTGCAGCTCTGAGGCTTTCTACTCCTTGCCGTCACGCCTCACTGCCCCGCCCCGCCTACCCACTTCCTGCCACCCGACCCCCAGATTGCACACCCAGTGCTCAGACCCTGACAAACCTGCTCTACCTTTCACTCCTCAGGGAATCTGGGAGTCGCTCTGACCTACCCAATGATCGAGGGGGGAGCCTTCGCATATAAAGAACTGCTAAAAATCAACAGGACAAAAACACTGGCAGAAAAGTGGTCAAAGGACGTGACAGTGCGTCACAAAGGATGAGGCGCCATCACAGAGAGAGAGAACGCGTCCTCCCCACCTGTCGCAGTGACGATAACTGACAGAGAGCACTTGCCACTCTAGATTCTTTCCTGCAGTCGCCAGCAAAGCAAGTCCGAGACGAGGAGGTGCTACCCAGCCTCGTTAGGAAGAAGGGTGTGCCCGGCGCCTGTGTGGTCCTGAGGGCCCAGGCTGAGTGCAGGTGGTTGTTTCTGGGTGCTGAGATAGGGGCAGCTTTTACCTTCTTTCTGCTTCTGTTCCACCCTTCGCCGAGGAGTGTCTCACCCGAGCCTCAAAATACTAACCAGAGGCTGGGAATCAGGCCTTGCACAGTCCTCTGAGACCTACAGCTGAGTGAGGCCAAGCAGGGCCTGGTCTGTCTACAACCTCTTCTCCATACCTCAGTCAGTGACACACTTTCCAGGACACGGGTCACGTCCCGGGGACCCTGGGCCTCCCCCAGGGCCTGGGCTGGCCCTACCGCAGCTCAGCCGTCTCCGTGTGGGGCACCGACCTTGAGAGGCCAGTGGGTAGTAACGGTAGCTGTGGGCTGAGCGTGTCCTGCGCCCCGTGAGAGCTCCACACACATCACCTGATCAACTGGTCCTGATTGACACCCAGGCAGGAAGTGTCTGCAGGGAGGGCAGAGACACAGCTGACCACTGCAGGGCCACAAGCTCAGGGGCCCAGCAGGATGCAACCCCAAAGCCCAGCCCACGGCCTCGGGCCGCCCAGGCGGCCTCCGCCTGACCAGCCAGGGGTGTCCCACCCCTCACACTCACACGTGTGCACACGCACGGCCCAGGGGGAGTCCCCCCAGGGTGCTGCCCAGCCCCACGCCCGGCCCAGAGGCGCTGTGGACAGCCAGAGCTGGCCCTTTAAGGCCCCCGAGGGGGGAAATGGGGCAAAACCTCCCCTTTAGTTTCTCTTTTTTTCGCTTTGGCAAGGTTTCCATAAAGTGAGTTTTGAGACCTGGCCTCCGCCACGCGGGACATTGCTTTCTGTCCTGGTGGGGCGCCTGCAGCCTCGCCCTGGCGGGCCCCAGCCACATTCGGCCTGGACACTGGGCATATTTCTACAATGTGGTCATGGAGCCACAGCCCAGCACCCCCTCCCTGCTGGGCCCTCCCCCATGCCCTGACCCTCACGACCCTCAGTGTCTCTGACGGGGAGGCCCCGCCTGCTTGGCTCTCGTCCTCTTGCTGAGAGGTGGCCCCCATTCTCCACCCGTGGAGGCCCAGGGGGCCTCCTGGGGCACATGGAGGACGGAGTGGGGTCCAGGTGGGGGAGTTAGGACCTTAACTCTCCTAAGAAACACCCCAAGCATTTCCAG